CACCTGACCTTCATCTTCTCAAGCTCTGGGCTAAGCGGCTCAGTCGGTACGAAAGTACCGCAAGGGTGGGAAGACCCCTGCAGCTCGCCAAACTATCACGAGGGCTACGGTGGAGGCTAAAGTGTACGCCAGGAAACTAGGAAACAATCGATGATTGTACTTCAGCTTCTCGCTTTCCGAAAAATCCTCCGTGAAGAGACTTTGGATCAAAAGCCGGGTACTTCTTGGGAAGGCGAAAACCAAAGGAGCGTTTCACACGTCAGCACTCAAAATGAACAAGTCCGAAGACGAACTGTCGGATTTGGCTGGCGGTACGTTCTTTCCTCAGCCGGACCTCGACGTACTTAAAAGAAATCACAGTCCCGGACCACGGTATGAACCGACCGTTTACGGAAAGAGAACTCGAGTGGGCCATCCACAAGGAAAAGCCCCGATTGGCGCCAGGACCGGACAAGATCACTTCGGCAATGTTGAAAAATCTGCCAGAAAACGCGAAACTTAAAGGGGCCCTGCAATCATATTTAAGCGTCTACCTTTTATGCGGTTTCCACGTCTCTTGGGGTTCGGGCAAGCCAGCGGGCACGGAAAGAGTAGCTAAATATCAGTGCGCCATATTTTAACTGGACGACACGGAAACCTCCCCCACCGACGAGGGCGACCCACGGTACCGAAAGCGCGCAAAATGTGACGTCTTTGGTCCTGGGCTTACTACTGGTCAGAGCCACTAAAAACTTCTTTTTGGTCGAAATACAAAATATAAGTGGTGCGAACCGTTTCAATTATTTATAAAAGTAGTTTTTGTTCACTATTATAGATGAAAAAAAGAAAGAAATGCAGTTTATGAAGTACGGAAACAAGAAATGACCCGTCAACATACCCGCCGCCAAGCGGTGGAAAAGGCGGCGCATACTAGAAAAATGTAGTGGGATAAGGCGCCGACACGGAAAAATCCCGGATGTACGCGGTGGCGCTGCAGTCGTATGGACAGGAGGATCCGACCGGCTCCGAGCGTTCCGAAGGCCTTCCGCGAGAGGCTTTGTTTTGCGGTTTGGCCGTTTCGCGGTATGGCAGCGCGAAGTGGGCTCCCATTCTGAACTGATCTTTACCCCGTGTTTGCTATCGTTTGTGGCCAATGAAGTGTCATGCCGAATTAGTGTTTAATCGCGCAGCAAACGCAATGAAAGCCGCTTTGGCAGCCCGCTGCATACAGCCTATCCAGAATATGCTTTAGTGGCGCCCTCTGGCGCCGTTGACACGGAGTGCGGCGGCCGTGAGCGCTCGATGAGCTCACTATTCCTCGTCTAGTTCACGGCCACTCAAGCCAGGACCTACGACGTCATGAAGAAGGTTATTTTTTGCTTGTTTTTGTAATTCTAAATTGCCTATAACTTTTAAAATAAAGCGAATTTCGCGAAAAGAAAAGTTTCACTAACTTACTACGTTCAGTGCGCTCAGGTTCGGTGCAAATGAAAAAAACAGTAAAAAGTCCTTGCAGGGCCCCTTTAAGCTCTTAGAATGTATCAATCATATCTGGAGCACAGGGAAGCTTCCAGCTCACTGGAAACATTCCTCCGTAACTCCCGTTCCCAAGCCAGGGAAGGCCAAGGGAAACATCGGCAATTACAGATCCATCTAGATGACTTCCTGCATTTGCAAAACCATGGAAAGGATGATACCCACTTGCATGGAATGGTTCCTGGAGTCTACTAGCGCCTTCCACCCTGCACAGACCGGCTTTTGCCCCGGCCTAGCTGGGTACACAAGAAAGCCTTATTTTCATTTCGGCCGGTATCATCCGATGCAAAGGAAGCAAGCTCAAACACCCAGGTGCGATCATTGCAATCGATATCAGCATTCGACTCTGTACCCCACAAGTTGATCATTCGAGAAGCAAAGAGAGTGGGACTAAAAAGCAGAACCTCGCATTTCATCAAAATTTCCTTAGAAGGGAGAACATACTCGATCGTCCGTTATAAACTTGGCAGCCCTGTTTTGAACTTTTTATAATTGGTCTATAAGATATGCCTGGTGAGGATCTTATGAGACACAGGCGTATTCTAAAATAGGCCAATATATGTTACATATATTGTTCATTTAACGCCTTTGGGGCAGTCTTTGAAGTTTCGTTTAATGAAGTTCAAGATAGAAGAAACCTTAGCAGTAAGTTAGGTTATATGCTTGGCCCAGTAAAAGTTTTTTTTGTAAAATATATGCCAAGATACTTTACTTCAGACACTATTGTCAATGAATTTCCGCTCCATGGTATATTTCAACATAAAAGGCTTACGTTTTCGAGTGAAAAAAAATGATGGCCCTTAGCAATGTTTAGTTTCATTTTCCACGTGCCACACCAATTGGTATTGCAGGAAATAGTCTTGTGTTCCACGTGTCACGCCAAGTGGAAATGTAGAAAGCAGTTGGAAACACTGAAATCCAGGCACACTAGGCAGTGTCTGTGTCGTCTGCTTCGGTCTAGTTTGCCTTCTGCGTTCGACACAGTTAGCGTGATCTTGCCGTGGAGATCTCTTGAAATTACACACTTTCTGTGTACTCCCAAAAAATCAGATGAAAAAAAAAATCCAGAAGTTTCTTTCATGAAGTCCCTGCTGACACCGACCTAAGTGAAAAGTGGATTTTTCCTATCCGACGAGACAGGACACCAAATGCGACGTTATGTTACTCAAAGAAATGCAATATTCCTTTAAAAAGATACTTTTTTCTTGGAGAAAAATGGCGATGACTCAGATCATAAGCCCATTTTCAGTTGGAACAGCATATCAGTATATAAAAAAAAGTGAAAGTAAAAACGTTACGATTTCGACACAGAGTGGCGGTCGTCCGCCGTAACTCAACACTACCTAGATAAGCAGAAGGCCTCTGCACCGTCATCACAGTCAGATCTATCAAGGCCTGAGATTGGGCACGAGTGCTGCGTCAGTGTTCGGCCGGGGCTCGTGTTCAATCAGCGCGTCGAAGGTCGGATTCGGGCCCAATAGCCGAGTTAGCGCGATCCGACGTGATAACGTTTCATAAAGGGAGAGAAGGCGATGCGGAGGATTTCCTTATTCTGGATGGTGTTGCGCTATTGCCGTGCGTGGTACAGGGGGTAAAGCAGTGCCGGGCGACCAACGACCTTGTCTCAACAGCGCGCCTAGCGGCGAAACGTTACACTTGCGACGACGGCGGTGGCTGATTGTTTTCAGTTTCTTTTGCCAGGCACTGAACGTTTATAGGAGTCACTGGCAGTATAAACCCCTTTCGAAAGTCACGTGCCGATTATTAGAAGGTCGGAATCATCGAACAATGGGGAAACAAGTGCTTCGAGGAACGTGCAACTCATTCTATGAGATAGCAAACGTCGGAGCGCGGCCAACAGCACAAACCGACGAGCCAATAAACAGCGCGGAAAGTGCAACATAACTGCGCTCATCACCTTTTTGTTTGGATGTGTTATTTTCAGTGTACCGTGACGTTAAGGTTTTAGTCCACCATTGTGCAGGGATTCCACAGCTGCCATCATAGGGCAGTATTTCGAAAGGGCTCTATTTATGGACCGGTGCCCCACACAGGCAGAACAATATGCGCATCGGTAGAGAAACACTGCCTTTGCGGTAATGAGGATGCAGGAGAAGTTTCTGCTGCATTCTGAACTTTTATCCGACTATAGTTGAACGAGCCACCAAACGATTGAAAGAGATTCGTGCAGAACGTGTACGCTTTACCCCTCTCCCTATAACTGTGGCTTTTGCGTTTTGAAAGAAACAGGACTCGGGCTCATTGAGGCAACGAAGACGTTTATTGTAATGAGAACCACCAGCTTAAATTACTATTGACAGCCTGAAATGACAGCACGAGTGTGAACGAGACAGAAAAATGAAGCTATTTTACAGGGATATATTGTGATCAACTGTATCCTGGCCAATTAGAGCCAGACATACCAGCTCTCATTGATGGGAGCTGGTACATCTTTCTTAAAACGTTAAGGAAGAAACATCCTGGGAACCTCGGATTGATAACCAAATTTAGTTTTTTTTTTATATGCAGAACGATTACCTTGTTAGCTTAGAAAAAAAAGTTTCCAGAAAAGCTGTGGCTGCCACTAAGATAATTCCAGAGATTGCTTTCCAAGCTCAGATTGCACGAGGTTGGCGTTTTGTATCGTATATTCCTTTTTTTCCATCCGATGACTCATTTTAAGTGCAAGATGCCGTGGCATGGGACATGCCAGACGGGATAGTTGACTGAATAAAGAAGGATCCTTAAATACAAGGTGAAACAAAACATTTGTTCTTGACGAAACGCTATTCACAAAACTGTCGAATGTCGATGACGACAAGTGTTTTGAACTAGCGAGATGAACACCGAGAGTGCGCTGCGGAGGGAAGGCGCGTACAATGATTGGAGATGGAATTTTTACAATGACACTGGAGCGACCGGGCAAAAGTACCGCGCACTCCGTTTTTGTTCCAAGTCAGGCACGCCAACAGCGCCTGTGTTGGCATTCAAAGTTCGCAGATCTAAATAGGGTCGCCACTTGCTGGCATGCGAAGGGGACGTCCACAAGCGCTAAGACCCACGGCAATTAGCACGGCATCATTCATAGTCTCATGAGTGCAAAGGCAGGCCATACCATGTGGGCCAATGTTTGCGCTCCAAAAGCCTAGAATGACGAAGCATTCTTCGCGCAAAACACCCGGTCTTATTTAGGCGTGAGTGACGTCATCGAGCCAGTCGCGACGCAGTATCGCGAAGCAGGTGATGTTCTGAACACCGGCAGCTATCTTGGATGTGGCACGTCCACGGAGCAGACGACGCTCCGGGCGGAGGACGTCATCCCCCTGTGAACTGTGCAGGACGTAGCACCACAGAGCAGACAACAATTTAGGTGCCAACAGCCATCTTGTTTCCGGCACATTCACGAAGCAGGCGATGACCGTAGTGTCAGCGGCCACCTCTCCGGACGTTGTGCGTACGCGTGGTTTCATGCAGATGACGTCGATCTAGACCCCAGTTCTTGCCAGCGGCTGGCGCTCTGTCGCCGTTACGTTCACGAGCGACCTCGGCGCGTACCGCAGGAAATGTTCGCAGTACTCCTGCAGGTGGTTGGTGTTCCTGCAGCAAGGCTCGTAGGATTCACGGGCTCCGGTGACGAAGATGCACTCGTCGCAGACAGCCTTGGCCTTGGAGTCCTTGGTGCAGTTACCGACGGCCGGTCCTACCACGTTGCGGCCGAAGCGGTCGCCGCCGTTCGTGTGCAGCGGCATCGCCTGGCAGCCCGGCGCTGTTGTCATCACCAGGGAGGCAAGCGTGGACAGGAACACGACGATCGACAGAGACATGGCGTCTGCTGCAAGACAGAGAAAGCCGGAGGTGAGGTCGAGCAACGGTTCGACACAAGGTGCGCATGGTGTTGCGCGGACATCGAACACGGGACACTGCTCGTATACCCGAAAGCCGCTGTCGCACTGTTCGTACCTCGTACAAAAGACACGGAGTTTCTCCGCGGACACGATGGCAGCATTATCTGCGGACACGGCTCAAGCATCTTCGAAGCGCGTCAACTTCGGACATGTCTGCAGAGAGTTTCTGTATGATCAACGTGACTGTACCGTCGCAACAGAAAGAAACACGCCACAGACACTGTCGGCAGACTGTATTTTTTATGATGTACTCGAAATATGACTCGGGCTCTACACTTTATTTCTCCCCGCTTGTCGGCAGCACATATGTCAACTTCTAAAGGTACTGCTATTCTTGGAACCTCCCATCGAGGGAGGCGCTGTGAAAATTGACTATAGCCATTGCTCCAAGTCGCATCTCACAGGAGTGGTTGTCGGGCCTCCGGAACTTTTGAAAACGTTGCGAGAGATAAAAATTTACTAGGCACTGATTCTTTTGTAGGTCGTAACCAACATATCGTGAAAATAGGTGGAACCGGGCAGTTGGAAGCATTGGCTTCCAACGTTAGCGTCGCACTGCTGATCCAACGAAATGTTCCATTACATAAGAAAAGCCCCAAATTCTGACTCGGATCACTCAATGACAAATGTTAAAGCTGATAACATCCCCCCCCCCCCCCCCCAAAAAAAAAAAAAAAGACATTGGCACAGTCCCGGTGCTCCATTTACGATGAAGATCATCTGCTACTAATCGATGACTAAAATCCAAGTGACTCAGCGGTATCATCAGGTATATGTGAGACACTGATTCCTCCTACGCCACAGTGTCTTGCATGCAATAGCGGACGTCATATATATATATTTTAACTACGGCGAGGAAGGGTAAATTGATTGGGCACCAAAACTAGCGATCGCGATGTCCAGAAAAACCAAGTGCGCGTACTTGAGCCGATAGCTGAAAGCAGTCATATTCTCTTACCGTAACCGGCGACGATCCTTGAAGACGCGATGCCGTGTGCAAAACCGTACACGATGAACGCGCAGAAACGTATACACAGTAACCAGGATATCACTGCGCAGTGCTGTCGAGGGAGGAACGCGTCCTTGGTAGTTTGTTTCCTGCCGGTTCCTTCTGGCACAACTTGAACACCGGATCGGTTCCAACGGCAAGCAAAGGCACAACTACCGCGGAGCTGCACCACAGCACTGGACGTCTTCTGCAGACCAATCCTCGCCCGAGCTAGTTGAGAGCCGTCTGAGCCTCACCGCCCACGCTGCTGTGGTCAGGTGTTACACAGCGATCACACGCAACTCAATGTTTCCGCTCTGATAGATAGGCTCCCCTCTCCCTCTTCGAGCTGGCGATAAGGCTTTTTGGCTCTCGCGCCGTAATATGGCTCGATTAGGGTTGGGCCTCCGCGCGTGCTGCCGACGTCGTATGACATATGGGAGGAGTTTAGGTCTGCGGCGTCGTTTTCTTATCTCGGAGCATGCTAGATGACTGTCAGGTTAAAAGGGACGTGTAAGGGTCGCGGACTCCCCGTGTGAGGCTGCACTAGTGTTTGCAAGTCACGCGTTCGGAGTAGCTACGCTACTTGCAACGCGTTAATTTCTGCAGTAACGCAGTAGCGCGGTCTTTAAATTTTGTAAATGACTAACAGGTAAAATACTTTTGTTACTATCTTACGCAATAGTCTATCGAGTGACGTTCCTCGTTACTTTTGGTTAGTATTGTTCTTGCTTCAGCTTAAAAAAAAAAAAAATTAATTCGCATTTTGTAGACTTTACCGAAAAGGGAAAAATATTATAGTTTCTTCTCCGCGGAATCGTTTCTTCAATACGATTAAGAAAAAAAAATGTATTCTGCAAATTTTATTCAAAAATACAACGAGCACTATGAGATTACTCTATCCAAGTTTAATTGCTGTGGGAAGTTTGTATCCGCAGCATATTGCTGCCAAATGAAATAGAAAGCAACGCAAAAGCATCGTTCGTTAATTCTGAAAGCAACGCGAGCCGTACTTCTTCACATTTTGAATGTCGGTAACGCGTATCAGTAACGCGTTAGTCCTTGACGAATTAACGAGTCACTCTGTTTTGTTATTTATTTTTGGCCACGAGTACAACACTGTCCCGCACCTTCCATCGATCTTGGCTGCACATTAGCCACATGTGTTTTCCAGATTGATCGTCTAAAAACCCAAGAGCATTAAATTTCTTTACTGAATGTTTTTAATATTTTGCCGTAATAAATTGACCGTGTATCTTATTAAAGTAACATAAACACTTATTGACGCAACTCCATCGCACAAAATGTTGAAAGAAAAATTGACGCCAAGAGGCAACCGAAAGTTGACGAAGGTGAGTGGATCTGTAGTACATGAATAAGAGGAGTGTTCGTTCGTTTACTCGAGCCTTTCTGATTGTCTATTTCTGCTATATGACCGACGTTCACATTCCTGCTCTGGTTCCGGGAATCAAGTAAAGAAAAAAAAAAGAAATAAAACTAATTGTGTTGCGTGTATGTCTAGACAGCGAGAAGTTATTCAGCCGCAAAGGGCGTCTGCTGTTTCTGTTGCAGATGAAACACTCAGACAGTGCAGTATCTCTGCTAGCCTGGGGTCTTTAAAGGGATGCTAAACCAAACATAACAGTGTCTATAATAGGTGGCGCACTATCTTTTCATAAGTCATCAGTCGCCGGTGGGCGCGAGCACACACAACGAAATCGATGTCATCATATCCCCCCCCCCCCCTCATTCAAGCTTAATAAGCTTGACTAGGGGATATGATGACGTCAATTTCGTTGCGTGTGCTCGCGCCCACTGGCGGCTGCTGACTCATGGAAAGGTAGTGCGCCACTGGAATGTTTGGTTCATCAACCCTTTAACGTCCACCAGGTAGTAGCGATAAACGACCGCACCCCTGTACGATGATCTATAAAATCTAAACGAGCGTGGACTGAGCAAGGAATCTGAAGTTCTGCGGCGCGAGCTTTCGCTCTGCGTACTCCGAGCTGCGGTGAGACTAGAAGCTCCGCCTTAAGCGCGAGCTTTCTGTCCTGGCTAACACAATTGTGAACGCGCAGGCACGCGCAACCAAAGCACTGCGGAAGCCAGCGACCTCGCACTGAAGGCCGAGGGCGAACGGAGTAGATAACATACTCGGCCACCGATGTGCCCCTAGTATCCACCGAGAGTGGTCCTCAAACGACAAGGAACCAGGATCTGGCAACTATAACTCCTTCTTTATGAATGAGTATAAAAGGGAAAAAATAAAGACCTTCATGGGAATGGCGATAAATTGCACCATGCACACAAAAGAAGTGAAACGGAAAGAACGCAGCCGCCCCTGGGGAAGGGGAAACTACGCAAGAGCAAGTTCGTCTGCTTCTTTTGCAGGGGTTGTGGTGACTTCAGAAAAACGCCGAGCTATGATTGGCTCTGATGAAAGAATGGTGGGTAGACCTCAAAGCAAGCTGCCTCGAGGTGTACCCGCTATCTATCAATCAGAGCCAATCAGAGCTCGGTGTCTTACTGACGTCACCACAACTCCTGCAAAAACAAGCTGACGAACTTGCGCTCCGCTTAGCATGTTTCACACTAAGCCCGGTCGCAGACGATCCGAGGGAGGAAATCGGGCAGCGTCGTAGGTGCTTTGTCACGGCGCGCTGGTCGACTTTGTGCACTTGACATCACCGGCTAAACAAATCACGCGCAGTGAATGCGGCGTGATCGTCGTTATTCCCTGCTTTGTGTGTGGTTGGTTTGGCCCGCGTCAACAATCGCCAAAAAAACGACGATCGCCATGACGATGCAGCTTTGGTGCCACTCGATGGGCTTCGTTACGTCGCATACCGTCTGCCTACACCGAGCGCGCGCAGTGCGCGTGCGCAGAAACCACATTCGCCCGGGGCGAAGCATCTGCGAGTGCGCAGAGCCGACTGCAGCGCCACCGCCACGGTGTGACGTCAGAGAGTTGAGTTGCCCTCTACACACTCCTTGTAGCTTGAGCGCAGGAAAAGAGTATATATAAACCCCTTTCGAAAGTCACGTGATGAATATTAGAAGGTTGGAACCACTTCAACAGTGGCGGAACAACTGACATCGTGCAACGTGCAAGTCGTTCCATAAGATAGCGAACGTCAGAGCGCGTGCTTCCAAGGTGTAACGTCACTGCGATCATTACTTTTTTTGTAAGTGTGTGTTTGCCTTCTAATGCAACCCAACGCGTGCCGTGACGTTGCCGTTTTAGTCTGCTATCGTAAAGGGATTCCAGAGCTGCCAACAGAAGGCCGTCTTTCCCGCGTTCGTGTCTTCCTCTGTACCGGGCGGAAGTCTTGGGACGGCAATTGCCATAGAAACCTCTCGCGGAAAAGCCGCCACAAACAGTTTTATTCGCGTTACTTCCGACGCACGCCTGTCCAGCGCGCGCGTGTGTGTGTGATCGAGGTCGTTGTGCTCCGGGTCGTTATCTCTGTCAGTGAGGTGTTTTATGGGACGTGAGGGACGTAGCCTCCGTGTCAGCTTGCACGCAGCGAGCAATGATGTGCGTGGGTGACTAGCGTCACCCGGTCGCATGCAGTAAAAAAAAAAAAAAAAAAAAAAAAAAGAAGAAGAAGAAAAGAAGAAAGGGTTTATTCGTTCGTAAAACCAAAGATACCGTAACGTCCCATAGCTTCAGACGGTGATCAAACTGCGTCAATACTGTAAAATGGGAAGTTGCGATAACGACTCCTCAATGCTGTAGGGAGCGGCATGTGAGCTTCCGAGATACGCTGGAAATGTTTCCAGCACAGTCACGGACAGGGTGACGAACGGCAGGGAGGAGCTTCGGTGGTCCCGCCTGATTCGCGAGCTTCGTGTATACTTTCCATAACGCTTTGGCATCTCGTGCGCGAGCAACCAAACAACGGGGAAGGCGTGGACAGTGTGCTGGAGGCCTGGCGTTCGAAAGACACGCCCCCCCCCCCCCCCCGTTCTCGCTCTGTCAGCAAGTGTAGTCGTAGTCCCGAGAAGTGATCCGGTTTTCCCCGGAATAGAGCCGTATATAGAGAGAGTTTGGTCAAATGGGAGGAGCGGGCAGCGCCAGGCGTGCACGAGACGCAGATAGAAGGTTTGCCGTGCTCTCTCGGCCTACCGGAAGCCGAAAAGGATGCCCTAGCCGTGGTAGTGAGGGACACTTTTAGTAAGTGCGTAAGAGTTAGAGGGAGTAAATCTTCGTGGTTGAAAATATCGTACGCGTGATGTTTCGATTATGATCTTGCAAAAAAATGGAAGAATCGAATGTGCCCCTCGAACACTGTTTTTCTCAGTCGGAATCTGAACGCTCGGACGGCATTTTCCCGGCCCTCGACGCCTGGCGTACGGGTCACGTCGATCGTTCGCCTAGATTTTGATTATGCATGACCGTGTTGGAAAAACCTCATGCATCCTATTTTCAGTCATCGAGAGTTACTGTGACGCCCTTATTAATTTTTTTTCTCGCGACCACCGCCAGGGCATTATTCGCGGCTTCTGGCTGGCCATACTTGAACCTGTACGTAGACGCCCTGGAACACGGCCATCCCGCTTTCGGCCAATAGCGCCTGCTCATTTGCCTCTTGTACAGTGATGTCTCGTTAATATGGACACCTCCGTTCCCGTAAAAAAAAAAAAAGTCCATAATGTGAGTTGTCCACAATTATGAGACAAAAATGCACATATTTTTCCAGTTTGTCCCCGAAAGTGGTGTTCATATAGCGGGGTGTCCATATTAACGGGGTTTATATTAACGAGACATGACTGTACTTCCCAATGAATGGCCAAACTCTCTTTATGTACGACTCTGCCCCGGCGTAGTGACAAAACTCCTCAGTAGACCTATCGCTAAATCGACCTATTGCTATAGGAGGTATTCACTGGACGCCATATTTGAGGGCGATGTTTAGAGCGCATGCTCAGAACGAGCTCACATTAATAGCCTGCTAAGACCGGCAACCTTGATGGTGCTAAATGCACGCTCCAAAAGGACTGCGGAAGCTCGCCATCAGCACGCGCTCAGCAGCAGCGCACACGGATATGGCCGCCAGTGAATACTCCCCATATTTAAATGCGGCTCATATACAGCGAACACGAGTCCCTGCGTGGGCATTCAATAGACCTACTGCTATATTACTCAAGCATCAAGGAGAATGCGGGGATCGGTGTTCCACGCGCCGCACGTGCTGGCGTCAGCAGTTGTAATTCTTCTAAAGCAAATACATAGAACCAATGGCGTCTTG